CCGAGCGGCGACCCGCTTCAGCGGCGTAGCGCTGACGTTGTGCCAGCTGGTGAAGCCATTGCCTGGCTGCTCTGAATCTGAGCAGGGTCTACACAAGGGGGGATGTTTTAAAGCCTGCTTACATCTGAATTGGCAGGAGGTTATTTTAGGAAGAAGAGAATTTGCGCAGTCAGCTAGGCTACGGCGAGGGAGACGGCCGCGCTCTGTAACCGCTCGGTATGGCTCTGGGCTGCGGGCTCTCAGCTGTGCTGCAGAGCCCTGGAGAGGTGGGTGTAATTCTGTCAGGACAGGGTTTCATCCACATAACTTGAAGCCAACAGAAGTTTAAAGCATAACGATGTTGAGTTTGGGGCTAGGCTGTGTCTCTGTGTCACGGTGAGAGGACTCAGGTAAGCAGGTTTTTGGTTTTCCCTTTAAATACGCAGTGCGAAAATCTTTTGGAGAACCCTCTAGGGTAGTGCTGCTATTACAGGGGTGACTTCTATAGAACCAGCCTCTCAATTTTGTGGGCTGAAGGATTTCTTTCACCCCCCCCTTTCCAAACACATTAAATAGCTTTTGTAGCTCCAAACATAAGACTTTGATGAGGAGGAAGGTCTGGGAGCTTGAGCACCGGAGAAGAAAGGAGCAGGTGTACTCTAGGCTTTGCCCATGTGAAAGTTGTTGTTATCAAATAGGTGGAAAACAATATTGTTAGTAAATTCTCAGCAGTTACTTGCTCATTCGGGGAATACTGTAAGATAAACCAGAGCTTGTACTGCCAGTGTTTCCAGCCCTGTGGTAAAGCAGTAATTTCCTTGTGCTCTGTCCTTTCCGACTGAAAAACCTTCTTATATTGAAGAAACTGTGAGCAGATGTCCCTGGTGGTTTGTACTGGTGGAACTGAGAGCGACGGTGCTTGAAATCCAGAGGTTTTCCTTATGTTTTCATGGTCGTCTTTTTTTTTTTTTTTTTTTTTTTTTCCTTTCTTTCTTTCTTTCTTTCTTTCTTTCCACAGGCATCGGCAGAATCATCTTTCGTCTTCGGCTC